TATATATATATATATATATATATATATTTGGATTGAATAAAAATAGATTTGTCATGCAAACTCAAACTTAATGAAGCATTACGCATTTGTGGTTGGCAAATAGAGAAGGATAGATTTTGAAATGTATGCAATTTTTGAAATAAAATTATTTTTTCTGGAAATAATTTTATATTGTTTATATTTTAGGGAAAAAAATTTTATCCATGATAACCAACCCACATAACACAAAATACATATTTCTAAGCCAAACACAAGTAAAAGCGAACAAACCTAAAAAATTGCATAATATCAAGTGTAACACTCAAAATTATGTGTGTGTGCGCGCGCGCGTGATGAATGCATAAAACAGATAAGTGTGGCAATGTTCTATAATATAGTCAAAACTGAAAAGTATAATGAGGCAATTGGGCACTGCCATAACACATCTGAATCATAATCAATGCATAAATGAGCTGACATTGTGGGTGCATCAAGCTTCTTTTTATATTGTTTATATTTTAGGGAAAAAAATTTTAATCCATGATAACCAACCCCCATAACATAAAATACATATTTCTAAGCCAAACACATATAAAAGTGAACAAATCTAAAAAATTGCACAATATCACGTGTGACACTCGAAATTATATGTGTGTGTGTGCGAGCGCGTGTTGAATGCATAAAACAAATTAGTGTGGCAATGTTCTACAATATAGTCAAAACTAAAAAGCATAATGAGGCAATTGGGCATTGCCCTAACACATCTAAACCATAATCAATGCATAAATGAGTTGACATTGTGGGTGCATCAAGCTTCATTTAGACTGACCTAGCTCGGGCTTCATCATAATATTTTCACTTCTGATTTCCCTAAATGCAATCACTGTAAATTATTTTTGGCTTTCTTAATTAAAATTATCTTTTATAAAGACAATTATAAAATTCCCCCTATGAAATAAATATTAATATAATAGAAGAAATCTATATAAATTTATAGGCCGACTGCAAATTTTAGTCAAAACAATATGTTTTGCACAATGATTACTAGGAACACAAACTAGAAATCATATTTAGAAAAAAAAAATATATATATTTATTTAGCTTCCTTTATTTAGCTGCCTGATTATATGACATTTATAAATAAAACTCTCCTTTATTCTCCCCGCCGCCTCTCCGACCGCCCATTTGGTCAACAGACAAAAACCAAATAAAACTCTCCTTCCTTCTTCACTAAATCTTTCAACCAGTAATAAAACAAACCCTAATAACCAAAAATCATATTGTCCTCTTGTTTCCGGACGCCGCCACATCATCAAATAACTATAGTGTACCAATACTTAGCAATCCCCTGATTTGGGGGTGTAAATGAGCCGAACGCGAGCGAGCCATGCTCTCGCGTTCGACTCGTTTATATTTCAAGCTCAAAAAGTGTGTTCGTGTTCGGCTCGTTTGCTTAACAAATCAAATACGAGCTGTTCACGAACAAAGAGTCCTTTTAACAACCTTAATCATATAGTCATAAAACAATAAGGATTTGAGCAAGATTTAAAAATCATTATTTATATTAAAACATCATTTGAGTATAATTTAATAAATTTTATTCTATTTTCTTAATCAATATTTTAATTGGTTATAAATCTTTGTAGCCTTGTAGTCAATTAGATTTTTTTTAAATATATATATATATTATTATTTCCAGCCAAACACGAACAAATAAATATTTATTCCTGTTGTTCGTGTTCGGCTCGTTAACTTAGCGAACGAGCCGAACAAGAGGTTTTTAACGAGTCGAGCACGAGCTGTTCGCGAACAACAAGCCGTTTTGACAGCCCTACCCTGATTCACCTCGCCGGTCTCCTCTGACTATGAGATGACCCCCACAATTCTTATTATTTTTTATACTTGAATGCCATCATTGTCATTATTATTATTATTATTATTATTATTATGATTATTATTATTATTACTACTACTACTACGTGTCGTTTTCATTAAGAGTAAGTATCAAAATGGTTCCTCACTACTCTGAAATTAATTTATCATAATTCTCCGTAAGTTGAACAGGATAATTGATAAAATTATGGAATATTACCAATTATCTATATATAATTTGGGCTGTTGCGATCCATAT